TAACACATCATGCAGGTGACAGGTCAGTACTAACACATCATGCAGGTGACAGGTCAGTACTAACACATCATGCAGGTGACAGGTCAGTACTAACACATCATGCAGGTGACAGGTCAGTACTAACACATCATGCAGGTGACAGCATGGCTTGTGTAGCTGTCAATAACAAAGCAAACATGTCCACATAAAACTGCCATGACTGTCGAGACATGACCACTTGACCATCCGGTCCATGATCTTGGCCCTCACAGGTGCGCTCCAGCGTACTACCAACAGTAAGCCGCGTGGAATTGGTCATTATGAAATACATACTGACAGTGTTGTAATCAGAGCCATACGTTACAGAGGCCTTCATTAAGGAATATATTATGTTGACAAAAATCTTGTACCCACATTCTTTCTTAATTGTTCATTCTGTTATATTTGAATGCTAACAATCAGTCCAGTTGGCGGTTTCATATCTAATGAGTGACATCATTATTTTGTAATGATGAGAACCTCAAAGCTCCACGCAGGCGAGGTGAATGGGGAGTTTTACATTGCATTCAAGCTTGATGTACTTACAGAGCATATTCATGCTAGCGTGTGTGCATGTCAACAGGAGCCCTGGGAGACATGTCAATTTAGGGCATTTGTTGGGAAAATAATGTTGTTCAGGGACTGTGAGACAGACACAGAGATGTCAACATTTGTCCAGAACTGTTCTACAGTTTTAACAGGGATACCAAACAGGGATACCAAACAGACAACACTATTTCTCCACGCCAGTCAGCCCATGTTTCCTTCAGACCATTAAGATGAGAAACAAGTTGCAGATACATGTAACTTCGTCATCAACACTGACTGTAACTTTGTCATCAACACTGACTGTAACCCTTCAGGTAACCTGCTGCACCTGGTGGACAAACTATACATAAAAAAACGGTTATATCCAGCGATTGCTGATTGGCCTCCTGATCATTCATCACAAAAGATTTATCACGGAATCTTTCAGAACAGTTTGCACAAAACTAATCTTTCCAATCCCAGACTGACAAAGGCCTGAGTGAACATTTCGTCCAACAGTAAGATAAATGTGTTAGCAAGTAACTTGAAACATGGGACTTGACAATGTAATGTAATCCGTCTCCCAACTAATTGCCTCATCGATCCACACAGGAACATGGGCAGCGACATGTAAATGGCGAAACAAACAGGGATACAAATGTTTATCGATGATACGAAATTTCCTCTTTTGTGGATCCTTGTCAATTTCCCCATGAGGGCAGACTGGATGAATCTATAGCAGAGACTGACTCGCCAATATCAATGTAATCTAACCAGTATACACTATACAGGACCTGATTCAGGTCAGCTGAAAGTAAAGTCAACAGGCTGATTAAACCAGTATGTTAATCCTTCACCTCATGTTTGTCTGCATCGTACATGTGGGGATTAAAAAAACTTGCTGATCCAAATTCCATGGTTGTTGGAAAGTCAATATGGAAACAAAAGTTTTAAAGGATAAAAAACAGGTACCAGGGAAAGAATTTTGTGTGAAGTATATGTGGCAACCTGAAGATTGCTGACAAACCTGCTTAAGTGTGCAAGTGACATCAGATAAAGTTTTGTGCATTTAACAAGTGGTTTGTGGTAAGTTCTTTACGTGCTGCTGATAGTTTAACTAAGGAGGAGGAGAGTGAGTGAGTGAGTGAGTGAGTGAGTTAGTTTAGTTTTACGCCATTTTTAGCAATATTCCAGCAATATCACAGGGGTCTCCAGAAATGGGCTGCACACATTTGAACCATTGTGGGGAATCGAACCCAGGTCTTCAACGTGACGAGCAAACGCTTTAACCACTCGGCTACCCGACCACTCCTAACTAAGGAGGAAACATAGGAATGAGATGATGGAAAATAATGTAGACACAACATAAAAGAGGAAGAAAGTGGCAATCAGACAAGGAATGCTGAAAGAGAAATTACTTGTGTTTCAGGTTTCTTACTTATTTATTGTTTCACATGAGACCTTACACTAACAACTAGTCTCTGAAATGAACATATTTTACAGAAAGAAAAGTTCATAGTAAAAAAATATAATATAATGAAAAGGAGCCCTGAGACTTCTTTGGAAATCTAGACCATATTTTCTAGACTTGCGGGGGCTTTCTTGGATATATTTGCTTCAGGGTCTGTATGACAGACTAGTGAGACCTGGACATGTTTAGCCCTGCTAAATACCAGCTGGCAAGAAACATTTGTTATTAAAATCAGATGTGTTGCTGTCCAAACTTCAGAAACACTGCAACTAACACCAGTCTTGAATATGTCACCTATCATTCTTCAAAAACAAAAACTTTAAACGAAAAGAACCCTACCTGCTGATACCACTTACCAGAAACTAGCATTTGTTTTGCTTGACCTCGGGCAAAAAGAAAGGATGCATAGATGAAAGCAAAGAAAGAACTGTAAAGAAAGGAAGGACAAAAGAAAGATGCGTGAGTGAATGTTGTTTAAATCCAGTCAGCAATATTTCAGTCCAGATAAACCAGTGACTGAATCCATAAAAAAATCTACCCTAACAGGACACGACAAAAAAGTGGAAATACTTCAGGAAGGAAAGAAAATATGTTATAACAGACAAAATACACAATGGAGACAAAAGAAGAGAAAAGGGGAATGAAAGAAGGGAAGGATAACAGAAAGAATGGGAAAAACAAAGAAAAGAAATAACACAATCTCAGCATTAGTGAGATACACACTATTAAACAGACATAAACTGCCAGCCATTTACAAGTTAAAGGTACTTTGGCTACCAGTGAATGACAAGTAAATATACTTCTCCAAACAAGAAAATGTTAAGTACTGAAAGCCGGAAATTGAAGCACTGGAGTTAAACCTGAACAGCTTGTTGTTCAAATATTTGATTGGGATAATAACGCTTCATGTTCATATTGACTGTCAAATTAAGAGCAGGCGACTGAAAGCTCCAAGCAAAGACCACAGGCTTACAATGGGATTAAGGTTTTTAAGACTGCTACAGGAAATGAGTATTTGTTTTGCATGCAGTGGCCATCTTGAGGGTAAGACATTAGCAGTCTCCGCTGAAATAAATGTAGCAGTTCATAATTCAACTATATTAAAGAAATCATAAAAATAATCTTAAAGTAATTTATTGATCATAAATCAATACCCATAATACATTTCTGTAAAACATACTCTGGGAAACGTTAAATCTATGACATCCTATATTTATATTATTAATACCTATAGGCTCCTAGATTGTCTTGAAAACATGGTCAGATTGTCTATCGGCTTTAAATGTGTTTATTCAGAAATTTCATAGTCAAATCTCAAACAACTGTTAGGTCATTAATCATTAAAATGATACGTTTATCAATAAATCAATACCAAGTTAGCTTACGGCGTCTATGCATACAGACTGGTGATTTGAAGAATTGCCGGATGTATGTACACAGATAATGACAGAGGGATATACCAACAATATGTTCTTGTGATTGAAACTTACAAGATCCAGTCAGATTAAAGATTCAATATGACATATAGGGAAACTCACTATTCATTTTGAAATACTTAGATAATGATGCCTAAAAAACAGTTTCATGCACGTCAAATTTGGCATACCTTTCTCTCTTTATCATACAATATATTGATATCATTATTTATGTTTTTTTCTCAGCTGTCAATAAAATGTAAGTTAGTTGTTCCAAGACATAAAATGTTAAGAAAACGTAAACATACACATGAGCGTTATTTCAAACACGAATCAAACCAACATTTACTAATTTACATTGGTTTTGGGGCTTCATTCAAGAAAGAAAGGATAATGTAGATCTTGGAAGATTGAATGTTAAGTTACTTATAGCTTCAGAAATACTACTTACCTCATATGAAGCTGCCATAACTGAGCAGGTCCATCAAGTAATGTACAGTCATTTTGGAGTGGTCATCTTCCATAAAAGACACACTGCAAATGGGAAAAATCTTGTCTTTTTGTCTTCCAAACAAAAATTTGCACGATAATCTAAAATATGGCAATGTTAAATATATCTCTTATGAAATTCAAATAAAAATACCAAACAAATAATACATTGTTAGGATGGGCACAAACTTGAAGAAAGCTAGTTTTGGGGGCCATGCTTTGACATCTGAAAGATGAATTAACAAGATTTAATTAAGTAGCGAATACAAATATGGCAGTACATTCATTTAATGCACTGAATGACACACTCCTGATGGTGAGAATGAAGTATTAGCATTTCTTGCAGGTGAGAAATTGAGTGAGTGAGTGAGTTCAGTTTTACTCCGCACTCAGCAATATTCCAGCCATATGGTGGCGGTCTGTAAATAATTGAATCTGGACCAGATAATCCAGTGATGAACAGCATGAGCATCAATCTACGCAACTGGGATACTATGACATGTGTCAACCAAGTTAGCGAGCCTGACCACCCGATCCCGTTAGTCGCCTCCTTCAACAAGCATGGGTTACTGAAGACCAATTCTAACCCAGATCTTCACGGGTTGCAGGAGATAAAGAGTTACCAGAAATACTTGATGGTGAGGTGAGGTGAGGTGAGGTGAAATTTGATTTAGCGTTGTGCTTGAGAATATTTCGCTCATATGACGACGTGCATGTGTGTGTATGTGTATGTGTATGTACTAGCCCAGACTTAAGCTGGTTTAATAGTGCTAGCCCACTGAGATACCACGCTGTAGTGAAGCATGAATACCCCACTCATTATACTGACTCCAAGCCGACCAGTTCTTGTTGTACCCATTAATGCCGAGCACCAGGCAGGGACGCGGTCGGGGATCAAACCCGCGACCTTCCGCTCTCCGGGTGGACGTTCTAACCACTACACCACGGAGGCGGTCTACTTGATGGTGAGTATGAGATACCAGAATTATTATTATGGTGAGCATGAGTACCACTAACCAGTGTTTTGGCAAATTTGACCATTGCAATAACAATTGTACAGGTTTGGGGTGAAGTACGACATGAGCATTGCACCAACTTCTGCAGCTTGGGTGAAGTACGACATGAGCATTGCACCAACTTCTGCATCTTGGGTGAAGGACAACATGAGCATTGCACCAACTTCTGCAGCTTGGGTGAAGTACGACATGAGCATTGCACCAACTTCTGCAGCTTGGGTGAAGTACGACATGAGCATTGCACCAACTTCTGCAGCTTGGGTGAAGTACGACATGAGCATTGCACCAACTTCTGCAGCTTGGGTGAAGAAGTTGCACAGTGCCGGGTGAAGAAGGTAGATAACACTTAGTTGCATGGAACCATACTCTGTGTGCTATGCGTTGCAGAATTAATCAACAGAAAGTTTTGAATTTTGCAGGAATAATATAATGCCATAACACTTCTCCTATCCAGGTCATATTTGGTGCTAATCTTGTCACGTCCAAACTCAACACTTGTAGATTTCTGATCTTGCTGTAGATAACCTAGTTACTTGTCAAGCATAAGTAAATAGTACCTGGTCAACACCAAACAACGTTCAACAACTGGGAGACATCATAAATTTCACAGATAAAAAGATATTCGCGACTGAAAATCAATCAATCGGAAATTTGTGTCAGTGGAAAAGGAAATTAAGTATTCATTGGACTAATCGAACTCTGTAAATCTCACCTTAACAACAATTTATCACTTTCATGCAATGAAACAGATTAACTCATGACATTCCAACATGGTTTATCACTTCCAATGGCAGAATAAGCTTTCTCAAAACACATTCTTAAAACCTGAAGAGAATTAATCTGACATTACTGGTAGTTTTTTCATCACAAAATTTCTGTACTACTCCAACAATCAAAAGATATACCTTGCAAATAATCACTGGTGAGATAGATCTGTGCTATAAATTATGAAGCAGAGGCCCTTTCAGGACCACAGACCTGAAGTGGTTCAGCTCTCTGGCAAGCTTCTGATGGTGTCTCACATCCTGTATTGTAGCTTCTAAAGGTGTCTCCCATCCTGTATTTTAGCTTCTGATGATGCCTCACATCCAATACTTTAGCTTCTGATGGTGCCTCACATCCAGCACTTTAGCTTCTGATGGTGCCTCACATCCAATACTTTAGCTTCTGATGGTGCCTCACATCCAATACTTTAGCTTCTGATGGTGCCTCACATCACATCCAATACTTTAGCTTCTGATGGTGCCTCACATCCAATACTTTAGCTTCTGATGGTGCCTCACATCCAATACTTTAGCTTCTGATGGTGCCTCACATCCAATACTTTAGCTTCTGATGGTGCCTCACATCCAATACTTTAGCTTCTGATGGTGCCTCACATCCAATACTTTAGCTTCTGATGGTGCCTCACATCCAATACTTTAGCTTCTGATGGTGCCTCACATCCAATACTTTAGCTTCTGATGGTGCCTCACATCCAATACTTTAGCTTCTGATGGTGCCTCATATCCAATACTTTAGCTTCTGATGGTGCCTCACATCCAATACTTTTCTGAGCTTCTGATGGTGCCTCACATCCAATACTTTAGCTTCTGATGGTGCCTCACATCCAATACTTTAGCTTCTGATGGTGCCTCACATCCAATACTTTTAGCTTCTGATGGTGCCTCACATCCAATACTTTAGCTTCTGATGGTGCCTCACACATCCAATACTTTAGCTTCTGAGGTGCCTCATCTGATGGTGCCTCACATCCAGCACTTTAGCTTCTGATGGTGCCTCACATCCAATACTTTAGCTTCTGATGGTGCCTCACATCCAACTTGGTTTTAGCTTCTGATGGTGCCTCACATCCAATACTTTAGCTTCTGATGGTGCCTCATATCCAATACTTTAGCTTCTGATGGTGCCTCACTTTCTTCTGATGGTGCCTCTTTTTAGCTTCTGATGGTGCCTCACATCCAGCACTTTAGCTTCTGATGGTGCCTCACATCCAATACTTTAGCTTCTGATGGTGCCTCACATCCAATACTTTAGCTTCTGATGGTGCCTCACATCCAATACTTTAGCTTCTGATGGTGCCTCACATCCAATACTTTAGCTTCTGATGGTGCCTCACATCCAATACTTTAGCTTCTGATGGTGCCTCACATCCAATACTTTAGCTTCTGATGGTGCCTCACATCCAGCACTCTGATGGTGCCTCACATCCAATGCTTTGCCTCACATCCAGCACTTTAGCTTCTGATGGTGCCTCACATCCAATACTTTAGCTTCTGATGGTGCCTCATATCCAATACTTTAGCTTCTGATGGTGCCTCACATCCAATACTTTAGCTTCTGATGGTGCCTCACATCCAATACTTTAGCTTCTGATGGTGCCTCACATCCAATACTTTAGCTTCTGATGGTGCCTCACATCCAATACTTTAGCTTCTGATGGTGCCTCACATCCAATACTTTAGCTTCTGATGGTGCCTCACATCCAATACTTTTTGCTTCTGATGGTGCCTCACATCCAATACTTTAGCTTCTGATGGTGCCTCACATCCAGCACTTTAGCTTCTGATGGTGCCTCACATCCAGCACTTTAGCTTCTGATGGTGCCTCACATCCAGTACTTTAGCTTCTGATGGTGCCTCACATCCAATACTTTAGCTTCTGATGGTGCCTCACATCCAATACTTTAGCTTCTGATGGTGCCTCATATCCAATACTTTAGCTTCTGATGGTGCCTCACATCCAATACTTTAGCTACTGATGGTGCTTCATATCCAATACTTTAGCTTCTAATGGTGCCTCACATCCAATACTTTAGCTTCTGATGATGCCTCACATCCAATACTTTAGCTTCTGATGGTGCCTCACATCCAATACTTTAGCTTCTGATGGTGCCTCACATCCAATACTTTAGCTTCTGATGGTGCCTCATATCCAATACTTTAGCTTCTAATGGTGTCTCACATCCAATACTTTAGCTTCTGATGGTGCCTCACATCCAATACTTTAGCTTTTGATGGTGCCTCACATCCAGCACTTTAGCTTCTGATGGTGCCTCACATCCAATACTTTAGCTTCTGATGGTGCCTCATATCCAATACTTTAGCTTCTGATGATGCCTCACATCCAATACTTTAGCTTCTGATGGTGCCTCACAGCCAATACTTTAGCTTCTGATGGTGCTTCATATCCAATACTTTAGCTTCTGATGGTGTCTCACATCCAATACTTTAGCTTCTGATGGTGCCTCATATCCAGTACTTTCTGAAGCTGATGGTGCCTCACATCCAGCACTTTAGCTTCTGATGGTGCTTGACATCCAATACTTTAGCTTCTGATGATGCCTCACATCCAATACTTTAGCTTCTGATGATGCCTCACATCCAATACTTTAGCTACTGATGGTGCTTCATATCCAATACTTTAGCTTCTAATGGTGTCTCACATCCAATACTTTAGCTTCTGATGATGCCTCACATCCAATACTTTAGCTTCTGATGATGCCTCACATCCAATACTTTAGCTACTGATGGTGCTTCATATCCAATATTTTAGCTTCTAATGGTGTCTCACATCCAATACTTTAGCTTCTGATGGTGCCTCACATCCAATACTTTAGCTTCTGATGATGCCTCATATCCAGTACTTTAGCTTCTGATGGTGTCTCACATCCAGCACTTTTGCTTCTGATGGTGCCTCACATCCAATACTTTAGCTTCTGATGGTGCCTCATATCCAGTACTTTCTGAAGCTGATGGTGCCTCACATCCAGCACTTTAGCTTCTAATGGTGCCTCACTTCCAGCACTTTAGCTTCTAATGGTGGCAGCCTCTCATAAATTCACACTTTCAACCTTCAACAATCACAAACAGACCTATCTTGCAGCACACCTAATACCTTTGGGTTCTCTGGTTAACATAATCATTAAAAGAGTTGAATGTTAGTTTAGGTTTTAATTTCAAACGTAACTGAAAAACTATCTTTGTAACTGTTAAACAAATGGTTAAAATCAAATCCTGTATTCCCGGTGCCAATGGCGCCATGGCTTCCTTCACCTTTGTACAAGGTACCATTATGTGCCATCTATCATGGTCTACTGCAGTTCTGGAACTGCCAAGTCTCATCCTTATCTCTCTATCATGCCTACAAGTTTATATAGATATTTAGCAAGGACTAAAGAGAAGATGAGAAAGCTAATTAACCCCAGATGTTACTTGATTAATTACAGTGTAATCAAAAACTGTCTGTCACTCCATCAAATCATCTGGCTTGTGTTCATATCAATGGGGCCCAGTTCGGGTTTAGTAACATTTCATGAGTGCATGTTAGGAAAGCTTATCTTTCAACCAAAACCTGCTTCCATGGGAAATGAAGAATTATCTCCCAGGAGTGAGTGAGTATATGTTAATGCTGTTTTGGGCAATATTTTCAGCATCAAGGCTGAGGACACCAGAAATGGGGTATGCCCCATTACACATCACTACAGATTGCAGAACAATGTTCTACAGGTCATTGTGACATCACTGGTTACAGTGATGTCACAGTCAAATGACATCAGTAATGTCTGCCACTGAAGCCAGTTTGGTGAACTTTTTACACTGGTTTACAAAGTTAGAAAGTAGGAAAAATGGTTTAGATTGTAAATCATCCTAAATCATGATATAACTGATAGAAAAAAACCCCACAACATTTGGGTTAGATTGTTTATAAATCTCCATAATCCTCGTTACTGGGTAGAAACAAAATTGTCAACAATTGACTGCATAAGAACTAGTACAAGAGTGAGTGAGTGAGTGAGTTGAGTTTTACGCCGCACTCAGCAATATTCCAGCTATATGGCGGCGGTCTGTAAATAATCGATTCTGGACCAGACAATCCAGTGATCAACAGCATGAGCATCGATCTGCGCAATTGGGAACCGATGACATGTGTCAACCAAGTCAGCGAGCCTGACCACCTCTTACGACAAGCATAGTCGCCTTCATACAAAGGGATCATGGGTACACTTATTACAAACAGTAGAAGATTATTAGAATACAGCAAAACAGAAAAATAAATTAATCAATAAAACAAATCTATTTAAATTATTTCCTATTATCAAACAGTCTCTAAAAGACAAAACATATCTGTTCATAAATTTCAGCAAAGGTTTATAAGTGTAATATGAGAAAAATGGCAAAAATTAAATGAAGAAATATGCCAGGATGAACATTTAGGTTCTAATGTATTTAACCCCTTCACAGTTGATCATCATTACATACAAAAAAAAGTTGAACCCCTACAGGGCCTCATAAGATAATGTC